TACAGGACTGCCAAGTGCATGTGAAACAAACGTATTATTTGTTCCCTGTCCAAATTTAATGTTGAAATGTTAAGTAACTTAAAATGAGAGAACCATAAGTCTAAGGAATATGTTTTCTAAGGAGCACCTGATATTTTCTCTTGTTGGTTGGTCTCAAGGGTGCCTCAACCAGACCACCAAAGACTGCACCTTTGCCGTCTCCAACTATCTAAAAGAATATTAATGATCTCAGATAACTGAAGCGCTTCGTCACAGAAAGAACACGAGCAAACATGCATGCTCCAAAAAGTATCAATGACAAAGAAAATGGAAACAATGAAGCATATTACTATTTCCAAGTAAAACATATAAATATTAATTTCTAATTCTGAAGTAAACTTGGCCAGAATATAAATAAGGAATATGAGCTGCAAATGCACATGTGCTTGAGTTTGCTAGATAGGAGCAGGCCTCAGGCACAAGGAATAAAAATGGACTGCACCAGTTACAATGATGCAAAACAACAGACAAATGCATATAATCACAGGCAGCAATATTTGGACTTAGAATGTGATCAGCTATGGAACATCGAAGTTTCATAACTGTGCAACAACATTTGGACTTAGAATGTGATCAGCTATGGAATGTCGAAGTTTCATACTTGTGATTCCTTGTTTTATCATAATTGTGATTCCTTTCAGAAAAAGGAAATAAAGGGAAAAGAAAAAGAACAATGTAATCCGACTTGTACACCAGCTTTAGGACACAAGCTTCTAGTGCAAGGTCGATGTTCCTGGAATAACTGACTAGGTTCGTAGTGTTATTTGGGACAACATTGGTAATTACACAAAAACTTTACTTAACCATTGGAATATAAAATCACAAGCAGAAGACCATAGAAAAGAAAGTATCTCTGGATGATGACTAATTCAAAATTACCAACAAACTAAGGCCAGGCCATAGAATGCTTCTCCTGTAGAGTGTTGAAAGTGATATCCCATGCCTCCATGTACTGTAAAGTATCAACATTAAGATATCAATAGGACTTATTACTTGGTGCTATGAAAAGATTAAACATGACTGTTAAGAAAAATATAATTGTTTGTTCACCTGTAAAGTAATAACCATTTCCTTCCCTGAACAAGTGCTGGAAGTGAAGCATAAAGGAAACCTCTTGTATTCTCAGAAAGAAGTAGTGAAGGTTCAGAAATTTCTGGAAGATCTGTCGAAGATGCTGGCTCTTTGACTTTCTGAATATGCCTCATCTCCAGCCCATCAAATTCGGCATCAGAGTCATCATCAGTTTTCATGTCGGAATCACCCCTGAGCTCCTGATTTCGGAATCTACTAAATCTAGCAGCCTGGTAAACAGCTCTAAGTGACTGTTTACCCTTGGAAAATAAGCTTTTCTTCCTGCCATTCTCTCTCATAGTCGCATCTACTGGTTTATCACCTGGTTCTGTTTGATTATCATCTTTCTCATCCAATGTTAAATTGTTTCCAGATTCTGAAGACGATAACAGAGAATAAAGGAATGCAGTGAAGGAAGAAGTGTCGGGCCCATCAACCAAATTCCCAGTATCCTCTTCAGAAATCGAATCTAGCTGACTTCTTTTCGAGTCATTGGCATCTTCCTGACAAATCAGAAGATCAATGGTAATAATCTAAAATGCCAATTTAGAAGCCTAAACTTAGTAAATCCAAGGTAATGAATCTAAGGCCAGAAGCTTGCAATTTATAAATAAAATTCCAATTAAAGGTTCCCCAAGCACATACAAAGCCCCCAATTGGATAACTTAAAGAAACCACAAGTAGTAAAGATACCCATAACGCATAAAATAAAGAGCAAGCTGCAAACTCTAGTGGGAAGCCAACTTTTCAAGGGGAAGACTTATTTATGGTTACTATTAACATGTAGAAACTTTCCAAGTTGATTATAGGAGAATCCCATTCTTCTTCAAACATACGAAATGAAGAAGAAAATTACAAGAAAATGAACCCAACAGCTAAACCCTGATTGTAAAACGTTCTAAAATTTACCGGCCTATCTCAGTAGAGAATTTTAACCCTCACTCCGATCATACTAATTCTACAACCAAGATAAAAGCATACTTCACCCAACAAAAGAGGAAAAAAAAAAAAAGCACTGAGCATATCTACCAAAAAGAACCCGTGTTCTCACAGTAGATATATACTAAATTCAACATGGAAGTGTCGAATGAAATTATC